GTCTTGGGATTTTACAGAGAGACAGACTGACGTAACACCTAGAAAACATAAATTCAGGATGGTGAATGATTACCTGAATTCAAAATTAAAGCTGAATGAGTCCATACCACCTGATATCCATGCCTTTGTCTAAAATAGCAGCTGTTTACACTTAGTGTTTGATAAGGAAGTATAAGACTTCAGTTTTTAAATGAATAGCCCTTCCACATTAAGCATCTGGCAGCAGTGACAAATGCTGGCATGCGACTTTTAAAATGTATACTTTTATGGGATTACAACCTGTTAGCACAAACAAAATCTATGAACACGTCTTGTTCACTTTGGTCACCTTCACTTTGGGAATCCTACACAGAATAGCCTACTTTGAAAGCAAATTAAATTGTTTTCAATTCAGCTGAGAGAAACAAAGTGGTAGTTCGTTCAAATGGCCTATTTGGAGAAACTTCAGGATTGATCCTTTCTTCTATTATACCAGCTTTCCATCAATGCAACTCCGATAGTGTCAATGTAGTTACACTGGCAAAACACTGGTTTAACAGAGGAGAGAATCAAACCTTTCACTTGTTACAGCTTCTGTCAAGTGACTAGACTAAGTCACTTTAATTGAGTTCCTCTCGCTTTCATTGTGCTGAAACAAAGGAGAAATAAAATGAGATCAAATAGGCCTTATTTGGAACCAATATAATTACGTTCTTTGGAGAGAACAGCAAGCCTGAGATTACTGAAAGGAGATAGATTCTGAATATATAAACTTGACAACAATGATACTACAGTGTTTTAATAAGAAGAAAATAGAATATAAAGAGCTTTTTGTAACCTTTCATCATTTTGTAACCGAAGTAGTTTGTGTGCACTGTAGCGTCCTTCTCACTGTTACATATGTCAGTTACATTTGTCTTAGATTTCAGCTCGTAGAAATACGCTGCACTCACGTATTACTTCAAAAATGTTTCTAGCAGACTGCAGTAGTTTGGAAAATTTTCATTTCCTAATGAAATTTTAAGAACTGTTTTCTAGTCTTGTAAATACTGTTGTTGAGCTTTTATTAAATGGGCAAATTTGAAGAATCAGCTGATGTAAGTCCTCACCTTTAATCTCATCACTACTATGCAATGAAGAAAAAAACGTGGCACATAACTGCATATGTATGCAACGATGAGAGTTCTGTGAGCTAATGAAAGCAGTCATGCACACACAGTATAGACAAAGTTTAGTGCTTTGAACTCCAGAAATAGAACTGAGGTTTTCAAAGGTACCCTAGGAAGTTAAATACTCAGATGGTCCAAGTACCTAGAAGACAAGGCAATGTAACATCATGAAACAATTGGGTTTCAAAAAAGCCTGGCATTTAAAACAGCATTTATATCACTGGGAGGCCTCAGAGAAGAGTTACCTTTTTGAAATTTTAGCAAATACATAGGATGTCCAAATAGATAGAACACACAAAGGAATACAGACAGGCTACACAGACAGGTACAGGTCTAGCTAAGTGCTAAAGTAAGTCACCTAAGCAGATTTTGTATTGCTAGTTAGAAATATAACCAAAATGTGTTTTAGCTGGTAGTCCCATATGTGTAACAGTGAGAAGCATAAGTTAACTACTACTGGGGTTCAGTACATTGTCAATGAGGGAAACGATCAAAGGAAAGTATGAACAAAGGAGCACTTATTAAGCAACCAATGTGATCCAAATTTCCAGGCTGCAGTGTCCAGGCAGCCTGTGCATACCACATGGAGCATAGGCAGCAATCATTAGGCTTGTGCTCTGCTCACAGAGCACTGACGGCTGTTTTTCCTTCCTCCCGTTTTCAGAGGCAGCCCAACAACACCTTATGAATGAGAATAAAAAGCCCTTCTCACTGTGAAGAAATCAAACCAGAAAACACAAACAAAAAACTCAAGTGACACGCTGAACAACAGAAACAAAATAGAGTCCGTGAGTCATTTGTGGGTACAATCAATTACCAACACAGCACAAGATTTTTCATCAGGTCAGAACTGTCAAAACATACTGAATCTGTCAGCACAGGCTAAGTGAAGCTACAGAGACATGATAAAGGATTATCTAGTAGAAGAAAATGTTGGGTTTTTTTTGTTTGTTTGTTTTTTGATGTTTTGAAGACTGATAAGGAATTGCTATGGTAAAAATACCACTTACAGACACCCCTTCTAATTGTGTAACCAGAATGTTTAGTGCCATTTCTTTAAAGGTGTGCTTAGGATGAATTCTAGCTTGTCTCCAGGGTTAGATCTCTACACATCAGGGCGGAATCAACCATGACTGAGAAGCAACTAAGATCAGCACAAAATATGTCTGATGAAATAGGGAGCAAACATAAAAATTCAGACACACAGACTAGCGGAAGAGAAGACCGTATGGGACACAGCTAGCAGCGTGGCAGTAGCACTTCACTACTGCTTGAAAAAGAACAGGAGTGGGGAGTTGATGGCCCCAAGCATTTACTTAAAGATAGTTTATATCTTCAACTGAATAATTTGCCCAGGATAACTTTTAACCCATCCCTACAGAGGGTGAAGATGATATGAACCTGGAATATTTTGCCCAAACTTGTCCAGAAGGGTAGGCTTAAATTTTGGCTAGAACAGTTTTTTGCCTTAGCAAGGTTGAAGGTAAAAAATCATTGGCACACAGACAGACCTACAATAGTCTTCCACAGATGTATGAGGGTAAAACAAGCAGGAAAGGGAATCCCAGTGTAGAACAGGCTTTGAGAAGTAAATGCGCTGGTAGAAACACAGGTACTGAAAGAAATACGGCTTAGTCACAGGAAGCCTTGCACACTGGCAAGGACTGCTAGATCTGTCAGGCTGATCCTGGAACAAGTTCAAACTGCAGGTATTCACAAAAGCTGAATCCTCACTGAGGCTAACGCAGGAGTTAACAGTTTGAATTACTTTTTCTCACATAGGAAAAAAAAACATTACCAATTCAATAATCTCACACTTTGAAGAACAAAACTGCAAAAAAAGTAAACACTTCCCACTCCTCCTTCTCTATTCAGAGAGGTAAAGACAGTTGAATTTGGTACACCTCTCTTCCCAGTGTTAACCATCAGCTCTTGCATCTTGTTGATGTGGGCTGTTTGATGCGTAAACATGCCATCGCAGAGATGAATAAAGCACTGTCTGGGTACCTAAAGACTGTGCCAAGAGAAATTGCTCTACAAAGGTGCAAAGAAGTAAGCAATGAGGAGGGAGCAGATCCCCAATTCCAATTCTGCTTGGCTGAGTAACTATCACTATAGAAACTTGCTTAAGTGGCAGAGAACCAGACATGAGACTTTCTCAGAGAACACAAGTCCATTTAATCTGGATTGCTGTTGTACCTGAGGAGGTATAAAAGTACTAAATAATCTTCCAGAGGCTGAATTCTGACAATATGTGGTTCAGCATTTTCTCTCAGAGAGAGGAACAATTTGTCCTATTATTTTAATATGGTCAATTGTATAAAAGTTTTCTTTTGGACTACTCAGTGAGAGATCTATCACAGACTTGCAGGGACAGGCAAAAATATTACAGTATATTTTATATGTTGCAAACGAGGAGACAGACCAAGCACAGAGATTTAACCCTGGCATGCACTCACCAACATTTGAGAAACCAGTATGATTTTAGCTAAGGTATTGATGCAAAATTTTCAGATTCAAAGCTTGGCCAGTACATTGCTTTTCTGTAGGCTTCACGTACATCCTTCATGGATCCAGAACATTTTTATTAAGGCGTTTGATTTAAAGAAAAACACAAAATCCACAAAGAAACAGAACTATAAATGAACAAATTGTCTACCAGATTTGCCTCCTCCCCCCTCCCCAAAGTTACTGAATTGCTTTGCAGTAGCATTACTGCATAGAATTACCCAATTATCTTCTAAATTATAAAAGGCAAATCTTCACCACCAACTGTTCCTAGGACTGCCAGGATGTGCAGTGTTGCAAAACTGTAGCAAAAATGTAAACAAAAGAGCCCTACTGAACAGGGAGGCAGGCCGTCCACATATGCCAATCCCAGCGGCTTCAATCAAAGGAGAGATTGTTTCACAAATAAACTAAGCCAGTGCAACTAATAAACTCCTGCTCTAATTACTGGCTGCAGATGTATCAACTGAAGCAAATGAGATGCAGGCAGCCATTAATTATCTAATGAGGCCAGCAGTGTTTCTGATGAGGTGGGGCTGATTAAATATTAAACAGTAGCATATGGTGAGTGCCAAGAACAAAAGACATGAGTCTGAGTCTCTCTCTAGATATAAATATACATACGTGAGTATATACACACACATGTGCATATATATATATATATATATATATAAATATAGTGTTGCATAAAAAAAAATTCCACTCTGCTAAAACTGAAGAGCAATCTCCCTCTGAAAAATGTAATTAGGACAGAAATGGAATCACGAAACTCAAAGGGAGTCTAGTGAAATCTGACTGTGAAATCTGACTTCTGAAGGTATAACTCAGATGAAAAGGTTTCACATTAAAGGGGTGCCAAAAACACTTAGGCATTGCAGCAGTCGTCTCTTTGTTTAACCCTTCCTGGTTATTCCAGTTGTTTCCTTCCCACCTCTCTCTTCCCCCTATCTTTCACTGGAAGAGCCCCACAGCTCAATCAAATGAACAATATCCAGCAAATCCCTCCTCGTAACACAGCTCACAATATTAAACCAAGACATAGTAAGTGTAAAAAAGAGAATGCAATCGCTGAAATGTTGTTAGGGCCAGCTAGACATGACACTTTAAAGAGAAAGAGAAGTGTAACCTTAGCCACGCAGATGTCAAGCCCACTGAAGCCAGCTAATCCCATCAGACTTAAATGGGACACCTACTGCCAGCACACCAGAGTGTTTCAGATGATCCGCGTGTGAAATTTGTTTCCTTCTGTCAGCTGCTCTTCTTTTCAGTACAGACCTCTGGAGGATGCAGTGACTTCTTGCAACCTGAGAATCCCTTTCCCCAAAAGCCATGGGATGCAGGATGTGGCAATCCAAACCAGTGAAAGATTTTCCAGCTCTCTGTAAGAAGCAATAAGCTATTGCTTTAGTGTACTTACACCCAGACAGTTTGTTCGCAACAACATGTTCCAATATGGCATGTTTCTGGGAGCTGTGTGTTGCAGACCTGCTTCAGCTTATCGTGCAAATGTGATTTGTCCCTGACCGGAGCCATGTCAAGCTATGCAGTGCAGCCACAATAGCTAAGAATTTACCTCTGTTTTAAGCAAAACCTGCTGGAAACTCAGCCAGCACTCTAAGGGAACCAGAAGCTTCCAAGAAACTTAAGAAACCCTTTAAATCTGTCAAGACACTTTTGTAAATATCAGAAACATTTCAGACGCAAAATAGCAAAGGAAATAGTCTAGAATGACTGCACAGTCTCAAAATCTTGTGATGACTGATTTTTCAAACTCTTAATAAGCCAAACATTGTTTTATGTTTATTTCTAAACACGCTCAGATGGCAGCTACTCTTCATATCTTACAACATAGTTACAGTAACAACAATGCAAGTGTCCTAGATCCATCCAATTTTTCAGCTGCCAGTTGTATCAGAGTTTTACAGAACAAGACCATTTTAGGATCAGGCCTTCACATAGTAAAAGAAAGAATCAACAAGCTATTATTAATTACCTAAAGAGAGACAATTTTTGGAATACCTTTTGCTCTTACGAATGTTTTCCCTAAATATGAAAGAATGGTACTCCCCCATCAGCTTTTTTTTTTTTTTTTTTTTTTTTTTTATAATACTCTTCTTTATTATAATCTCCTTAATATCCATCTGCTACCCTTTAGGCAAAAGCTTCTTAAATTCAAATATAGGGCTATTTTTATCACAGAAGAATATGTAAAGCAATAGAAACATTTTAATGGATTTTTGTGCCTGTGGCCCTTTTTAGCTGAATTTCCATAATGAAATCCAGTTACAGACATTGGTGCTGCTACACTTGGCTGTTCATACAAATAAAGAATGAACATTTTTGTCTTGTAAGCCAACCTAGTAATAGAGACTGCAATGTATACCTATAAAAAGCACAGGTCTTTTCCTCCATTGTTGCTTTAGTATAACTGTATATAACGGAGTTTTTACTCCAGTGGGACGTAACAATCAAGACAAAGCCTCAGCTCCTATTTAAAAAGAATAAGTAAGAAATATACAGGTATTTTTATTAGTAGTAACTAATAAAACATGCATACTATCTTCCTGTGCAGTGTTCAAGAGCATCAAAACAGTTCCATAAAAACAGCTACATTCAGCAGCAGTCACAGTGAATGACCACATAAACTGAGTATTTACTTTAAATGTTTGGAAAAAAACAGTTACTGTATCGTATCACTTCTAAAAACTAAAATGTTTCCCCACTTCTCACTGGGAAGAAAGGAAGTCTTTTAATGAGGGAAAACTGAAGAATGAGAAAAAACATCCAACACCAAACTGTGAGCAGCCTGTCAAGGCATTTAGGTCAGTGATTGCCAGGCTAGGCCTTTCTCCCCATCTCAGTAGGAGCTCTTAGCTAGGGGACTAACAGCTGCTAGCAGCTACCAAACAAGGTTTCTTCCTCAGAGGACTAGAAAATCCCCTTCTGAAAAAACTCATTCCCGATCCTGGGTTCATTTCACTAACTCAGCTTTCCTGGAACAAAATTGTCTAATCAAAACAGCTCCTAATCAACTTTAATGTAAATTGTTTATATCAGCAATTGCATTTGTAAAATAGACCAGAAATCTCTGTCAACTCTGGTGAAATAAATTCAGGATTAACACTTTTACAGGACAAAGACCTGCAGAAAAACGAACACTATGTTCTGCCCCTCAGCAGTGAAAACCAGCAATCTGGTGTCCATACTTCCTCAGAGGAATAGGTGCCAAACCATTTTGACCCATCTGTGCTCAATCAGCCTTCTATACAAGTCAACACATTGGCACAGTCCATTTCTGATGAAGCAAGGTAAGCAGTGTTTAGGCAGCAAACCTTTAGTAGTCACAAAAATACCATTTTATGGTTGTGTTTATATTAGAACATCACTTGGCAAATGGATCATTGACAGTCTCGTCTGATCATAACACAACTTACATCAGTTTGACTGAATTCTGCAGATATCCCAAATGCTCAGACATTATTATTATTTTTTAATCAGGCTCAAAGCATCTCCAAATGGGCAGTTAAACACTGAAATGCTACAGAGAGATAATAAATCATAGCATTCTCAAGAGTACCTGATAGATTTAGAAATCTTGCTCACCTCTAAAACCAGGATCTCAGCATTTCTAAAATGTTTGTCTTAGCAATTACATACACAAATCTCATTTCTTTTCCAGGGGTCTTCACCATTAATTGTCTCAGAGTCTATGAAAGGTGTGGTGAGCTGCTGCGTTTTTCAATAAATGCTCTTTCACAGAAAGGATGCAATTTTGAAAAACTTGTTGCTGTGAAGTGCATAAAAAATTACCATTTAACACCCTCAGTACTTTTGCTTTCAACAATAGCATCACCTTAGGTGATAAATTCAGAGAAAATTTTTGATTTTGATATTTAATTCTGAAGATTTAAATATGCTAATCTCACTGTCTCCTTTATGGTAACAGTTAACAAGTACACAGCTCTCTTTCCTTCGTGCTGGTATCTTACATCTCTGTGGAAATTAAATGTAACATACTTCCTCTGACTTACTGGTAGATATCTTGAGGGTTTCTACATATGGAATTTTATTCTACAGTGTCCTCATTTATGCAGAAGTTGGCTTTCCAGTCAAGAACCTTGCTTTCTAGTTGCAATGAATATTCAACCATATAAAAATGAGCGCATAATAGAAAATAACTGGAAACTTTCAGCAATAAACACTGATCAGCATCTGATGGCTGCAATAATATGAGACCTTGGGGGCAGCAGCAGCTCTGCTGGGTGCAAAACGATGTTCTCAGTTCAGAGTAACGCAGTGTCACACTTAAAACTTTCTTGTGGGCTAAAAAGGAATGCATATCACATAGGCATTAAACAAGAAGTTATCGTTTACCTGGCTGAAGCCTCATGGAATCGGAAACAAGCCCAGCCTCGGCTGCACAAAGGACTGGTTCTGGTGCTGTCCAGGACTGCTGCAGCTCCTGCCCTCTTCAGACCCCTCCCAGAGCTTTGGTCAGCCCAGGGCTGGAGCTGTCACCCCTGTGTGAGTATTAAAGCCAGTCATGGGCCAGGCAGATCTGACACTCTCAGGCCAAGACAGGCCCAACTGCACAACAGTCAAGTCAAACTTGCAACTACTGGGAGATAACATTTATCTGTTCTTTCATTCAGTTGGCATTGGCAGTCATGGATGACACCTGTGGTCACCACTGCAGATCAAGCAGTAGACATCTTCCTTGCAAACCCTGAATAAAAGCACAGATGGAAGAGACCCTGTGGTCTCAGGTTTGGAAGTACCAGGATAAAGCGTTAACAGGATGAGGTCAAAGTCTTCTGCTGGCACAGAACTTGTTCTGATAACTCTAATGAAGGAAGAGCCAAGCTTCTGTCCTCCTCTTTTTTTGTTGTCCTTTTGTACCTTCTAAGTGTTCTTTGTATTCCTTTGTGGTAGAAGAAACAATGTATTTTCAGAGGGACTCAGCTCCTGCAGGATCCTAAATTGGCTCTTTTAATCTACATGGGTACTTGAATCCTCACTTAAGACATTCGTTAATTAAGCCACATTAAACCACACAGGCAAAAAAGAGGCTATGTTTGGATAAATTTAAGGGTTTGATTTTCTGATTTAAAACCACAAAGCAAAGACATGCAGGGAGCCCAGGCTGGTGCTCCCTCATTAGCTCAGCATATTATGACATTTATAGTTCTCACTCAGGACTAGGAAGCCAAGGAAAACAGGGTTTTACAGTGGTGGAACAAAACCAGATAATGCCACAGAAAAATAAAATTTGTGTCCAAATGATGAGCCTGCAAAATGAGGCTTTGCCCTGTAGGCACTCAGAAATCTCTCTCATGCTTATGCAAACACGTTTGTGTCCACAAGGAGAATTTTCGTGTCCCCATTTGAAAGCCTCTATTCTATAGATGTCCCAGTAATTCTGTCAATAAGCAGAACTCACTGCCAAGTGAGGTAAATAACTGCATCCAAAGAGACGGTAAGCAACGAGGGCAAGATTTTCATGAAAAAATCATGTGCTGAAATAAGATGATTTGAAAACATTAAACTTCATAAGTATTAGGTAAGAAAGAAAGGCTATATACAGATTAGCAACAAAACAAGAAAGAATGGCAAAATCAAGAAATACTTGGCATGGATCCATACCTACCTTTGTCCCATGCCGAATATGGGAGAGGGACTTCCTTCAGTTTTCTCATCTCCCCAAAACTGTATCCTGGCTTGAGGCATACTTCTGTCAGGGCATTCTTACTTCTATAGAAGTTTGAAGTTTGGGAAGAGTGACAGGAGGCCAAAACTGAAGTTTTTATCTTTTTTTTGTTGTTGCTCTTATATGTTGCCAAAATCATTAACACATTATTTCACAATTTACACAAAAACCTTAATTTTGTGTAGGCACTGCTTCTCCTCCTTAGTTTCTGAGTTTTTTCTTAGTTTCTCCTATCTTAGTTTCTGAGACCACCAGAAATATTATTACTGTTGTTTTATATAAATCTGCCAACATGGAAAAAATGGATAAACTCAGAAATAAACAACTCAGGTGAAGAAAAATGAAAATGCCTTGCATATTTCAGACTGGTTGTTTAAAAGACAAACTTCCTTCATCCTTTCTACTACTGACTTCTACAAAGCTGCAGGAAAATGAACAAATAAATACAAAACAGGGAAAATTCTCCTTGCTTACAAATTCATTATAACTGCCTTTTTCCATACCTGTAGTTTAGGATTAATCTAACTCTTTTTTTGTTAAGCATACAAAAAAAGAAATGAACATTCTGTTTGTTATCTCAAGGTATTAGGGTCATAATAGATTTACTGAGATTCTTCTAAGGAATTTATGAGTATGTTTTCTTCTGAAAACAAATCACATACATTCCTAAATGTGGTAAGTAACCACATAATTTGAGACTCAGCATAAAGAAATACAATAACATAACAACACTACAATAACCAAAATATACATTCTGCTTTTCCTATGGGTACACGTAACGCTTTGAAAACCTTCAGCCTGTGCTTTCCTCTCATTTACATGGAAAATAAAAGAGAAAAAAAGTGAGAGTTTTCTTAGTATGACAGACTACTGAAACACAGATGCAAAAGAACTCAGTCTCCTACTGTTTCTTCTGCAGATCTTAAGAAATGTATTTGATAATACTTGCACTCTTTGAAAATAGGGATGAGAATGCTGAGTTGAAATGTCTTTGAAACAATGTTGCTTTAATTTTTGAAATTGTTCAACAGCTTTAGGAGAACTTCTGACATTTGGGTGGAATCTTTCCTTAGCCAATAGTGCTGAAGATTAACTTGCCTTGAGATCATTTAAATAATATTTCATGAAATCATTAACTGATTACATTTATAACCAAATTCTACTTTTTTTCTTCAGTAACAAAGTAACCAAATTTCCTAAGTAAAAACAAATATTGTAAAATCATAATGTGCTGTCTTAAATTCCCCAGACCAGGAGCTTGATTGGTTCTGAGCGAGAAATCAGAAGGAAATTAGAACAGATTTTTGTTTCTGCTTGTTTTTCTTTAACGTTAAATTCCATAACACTCAGAAAAGTGCTTTAGCATATTGCAGTAGGCAAGATAATAGATAAAGGAAAATTATTTTACATCTATTTTTGAAGCTGTATTTTTTATCTTGCTTTTCCCTCTACATATTTATAAAAGAAAAGAAAGGAAGCCTTCTGGGGACTTACACATTCCCTTTATGGCTTAGTAGCTAGGTTTCCAAGGCAGCTTTCAAAAAGGTATTAAAATAGTCTATTACCAACTTCTGCCTGTGAAGAAGTAAATGGAATGAAAACACATTTTTGATATCTACCGTGAACCTATGCACCCTGCTTCTCTGATAACATCATCTTCCCTTGTTGGAACCTTTCTACTTCTAGTGTTCCACACCAGGATTTTGATATATTCATACACATACTCACAGACATATATATACTTATTTATACATACAGTCTTATAAACTATGAATTTGTTGAGAGGGTTTCATTTTCAGAAACACGTGGCCTTGTATTAAGTCATCATTTAATAACAAAAAAAAAAAGACACAAAACAGCAAACTGAGCAGAAATCCAACCCAGATTTTCTGAGCTTTAGTCCTATGCCCTGCCCACCAGGCTACTCAGAAAGCACACTGTCAAGCTTCAGGGGCAGAGTGCACAGAGAAGCAAGAGAAGCCATGGTAGTGTATTCATTCTACTGGTATTTTGAGTTCTACAAGGAAAAAAAAAAAAAGAAAGAAACAATAGTTGAAAGCAATGTTAGTTGACATACATTATGTATATGTATTTTAAACAAATTTAATAAGTTGGAACTTTCAAAGGCAATTAATTACTCAATTCCCTCTGCTGTTGAGTAGGAGGTGGATACCTTACTCCCCAAAGCAACTTGGAAAACACCAGTACTTACTTCCCTTTTTCTGTCCCGATAAACTACTGCACTGAAAGATGAACAAGTTAAATTGAGATTACAGATTGGATTATATTTCTTGAGAATGGAGAGGTCTAAAGTGGCTAAGAGAACTAATGTGTTTGTGTAAGTGATATACGATCAGACGTTTGCACAGCTCTCTGTAGAGAGAAGGCAGTGTTTATAAAAGCTAAGTATCATGATATGTAAATTAGCTGCCTCTGCAGACATTTTTTCTGGTGAGTCAGCAGCTACTCATTCCTTTAAATGATACTCTTGTTCTCAGACTACTCCTTGATGCCTCCTGTACACTTTTTCCCCGTGGTAAATAATGCCTTTTGCAAGATCCGATGGTAAGAACAGTGGAGCTGCAGAACACTTTGCCCTCTGAAGTCCTTCTTGAATCTATTTTCTGTTTTCCTTTACCTTTAGCATCAATTCCTGGTCTTTGAAAAGACAGATCTCCAAGATCTTTGGTAAAACCCTTTAACTAACACCAAAGATTCTGTAGAGCTTTTTTTTTTTTTTTTTTTCCCCTTAATTAAGATTTCATAGCAGTAAGACATTTAAAAGAAAAACCAGCTTCAGGCATGAGCAAAAAAACCTTTTACTGTTACAGACCTCAGGGGAAATGCAACAAAAGCCTTCTGAGAACAACAGAAAATCACCCTTTTCCCCATCGACATAGTACCTTTCCTGAAATCTGGAAATTTGCTTTTTTCCAGGAAATATAGCTAGGCTTCCTGAATTACTTTAAGCTTGTATAGAATAGTTCAAATAAGCAAGGCAAATGTACCAATATCTGGCATGTTTTCCACTGTTTCTTGGAATCTTGTTTAAAGAAAACAACAACAACAACCTACCACCAACAGAAAAACATTCTCAAACAGGAAAGCTAAAACAGAAGGAGCTCACTGTGAACTATAGCCATCAAATACAGCCTCGTGTACCCATGATTGCTCCGGATTCTCCTCTACTGTGTTCGCACCCTGGGCTGAAACAACTCTTTCAGTTACCATCCCACCATAGTCATATTCCACAGACTTGCCAGTATTTGTAGTATCACTCTTGGACAGTGTGCAGGCACACCATCTTCAAAGAGTGTTCCAAGCTCTCTGTTGTTCAATGTATAACTTTTATTTAGCCTTCTGAAAGAACATTTTGCATGTTTGCATTAAATATACCTCAGAATAACAAAGAACAGCTAAACAATCACCGCTACTTAGTTCTGTAGTCAGTTCCACAGCCTCTAATTAGGAAAGCTAATAACAATTTTCATGGTACTGAATAATATAGTCTCATTTTTGCAGCATGCAGTATTTAGAAATTCCTATGTTCTTCCTGAAGCATGCAGCCTTCAGCAGCTCTCTCTCAAACTGTAGAGTTCTTTTTTTTGTTTCAGTATCTCTCACTTAGCAAACGATTTTTACAAGAGAGTTATTTACCTCTATGATCCCTCCTAAACAAGTCATAACTACGATTTTATAACATTTCAATCAAGTGAATCATGTCACCTACTTCAGTAGGAGTCTCTATACCTTTTTATTAACTGGCCTTCTAAAACTAGGCTACAAGTTACGTAATAAATTTGTTTCTTTAAGTCTCATGGTGCATCACTAAATCTTTTTTATTACTACATCTTTATGTGAAACAAGCATTTAGTTGTGGTGGGTTTTCTCCTGTTCTGCTCACAAAAAGGTGAAATGACTTCTGACAGGTTCCTGGCAATACTAGGCAAAGTACTCCCAGGCAGGACAAGAGACATATAGAGAAAAAGAGCTAAATACACTAGTTGGGTGAGGGGGATCTCTGGCCACGCAGCACTCCCCTAGCAGGCAGTCAAGGCCCAAGAGGTGCTCGCCTCTCTGTGGTTGGCCCTCATATGAGCTGTGGGGGTCTCCACCCTGTGCCCAGACCTTCTGGTCACCTGGAAAGCACAGGTGCAAAGCATCTGCCTGTGCTCCCTGGGCCAGCCACCAGGTGCTCAATCACCAGTTTCAGCAGTGACCTAACTGTTCCCCTACATCCCCCTTCTGTTACTGTTTTGAGTACTCTTCCTTTATGGAGAGGCCCACACAAACTATACAGTTTATTTTTAAGCAAAAAATCACCAGCAGCTCTCATAATCAGTAGCCAGTATAAAACACCACAGGTATGTTCAAAATGTTTGTCTTGTCTTTCTACTAGCTGTCTCAAAATATTTTAAAACACTATCTAGTTTTCTCTTCCAGCATCCAAATTTGTACCTTACAGGTACAGCATGGTGCAGAACAGCTCTAAGGACATTACATACCCAGCCTCTTTACGAGGTTGAGTGCAGACTCTAACCTTGTATTGTGATGAAAAGAGACTGAACTTTCAATTAGGGAGTTCATCTGACCCTCTCTAGCATCCAGTTTCAAATAAAGATAAATATGGACCTTCCTTACACAAATCAACATGCCTGTGTGCTATACTTTCTTCTGGAACTGAACAACCACGCACGCTTACGTTCTGCACACTCCTCCAGCTTCTCTCTTTAACTCACTCTTTAGAAAGGAATTTTGTCATTTCTGTACCGAGATTCCAATACTGCAAAATTCAAACTCACTGAATTCAAACTCCCACTTTAAAAATCACTCCAAAACACTTTAGTTCAGGAGTTCATCAAGTGACTGACTGTGATTGTAAGCTTCAGTGCTCATCTCCTCCCCCTCGCTAACAGGAAGCTATTAGCCACTTCGAGATTTCAAACAGCGAAGCTGATCAAAGGCCCAATGGTCACAGCGACATAAACCTACTGAGACTTAAAAGGAATGAAAAATGTGGGCTCAGTGGCATTATAAAATATGCACATACGTGTTCCTCTGCCTTACAGGGAGCTGCACAGCTGAACAGGGGAAATATTATTTATTTACGTGTAAGCTTTACTTTAATCTCTGAGTGATCTGGGCAAGAAAAATTAAGCAGACATGCTGAATAGTGAATAAATACAAAATGGATAATTAGCTGAACTTGCTTAATTATTGTAGAGGTTTTTTTCCCTCTTTCTTTATTTTTGCTTTCCTGTAGCAAGTTCCATATTCTTATAGGCTGTAAAGCGTAACACAAAGTAATAATATAAAATGATATCACTCTTTTCTTATACTGCTGGAAAAGGTAGAAAGAGATAATTGGAGAATACTCGAACGATGCTAAATTTTACCGAAGTGCTACAAAATTATT